TCCTGAACATGACCTTTCATTGCCTCTCTCAGGGCGTATTTGTCCTCTGTGCATTGCCTTCTCCAGGATCAGACAGAATACCAACAAGCATCATTTGGGGTGGCCATTTACATGCCATGCTGCTTAATGGCTGTTTTTATTGCTCAGGAAGCAGCATACATCTTCACAGACTGACCAGTGTGGCCCACAGCCATGATTTATGCTGGGACAACACTACCATATAGCACAGTAAAACCTACTCCTGAGTGGACATTAAGATTAGTCCTAACAGGACTTTTTATAGATGTGTGCTTAAAGCTAAAGTTTGAGATGCACAATAATATATATATATTCATGTGTATTTTTACCACTTCACCCAAATACAAAATGTAATGTTTGAATTTGATGTGGATTAAGTTCTAACATGTTTTAATCTTCTTTAAGCAAAGCCTGATATTGTGTAACAAGCTACTTTATATTATTCCACTGTTATTTCAAACTGATTTTAGAATGGCCTGCTGTTTATTTTTCTCCAAATTTGTCTGTCATTGGCTACTAAAGGCAAATATTCCGCTGAGACATTTTGTAAACCTTAGTAAAAATGGTCAAGGATTAAGCAGAATGGTTTCTTTATCATTTGAAATATGTCAAGCATCTTTAGGAAATCATTCATCCAAGCAGAGTAAGAGTGAATTCTGAGTGAAAACACCATGTCTTATTTAGTTGAGACATAATTAATCTTATCAAGTCCATCTGCCATGTTATGCAACGCTACACTGTCCTGCCTCACTCTGTGCTTAATCAGTGTTGTAGACCACTGTTTATCTATGTTATATAACTTCATTTATGCAAATAAAATCATTATCTATCATTGTCTTTTCATTTAGGCCCTTATGACTTCATTGTTTTATGTAACAATTACTAGACATTAATTATACATCTGTCTGTGGCACAGTTCAGTGAGGACAGAGGATGAAACCCATAGACGAGTCAAACATCAAATTGATTGTCAATTTTAATGAACTATTTTAATGATGGGTTGTGTTTTCTGTTGTATTTTATTTGGAGTTGTTTATGATGTGCTGTGGGGCTACCTAATAACCCTAAGTATATATGTGACCCTGGACCACAAAACCAGTCTTAAGTCGCTGGGGTATATTTGTAGCAATAGCCAAAAATACATTGTACGGGTCATATTAAGGATATTAAGTAAAGATCATGTTCCATGAAGATATTTAATAAATTTCCTACTGTAAATATATTAAAACTTAATTTTTGTTTAGTAACATGCATTGCTAAAAACTTCATTTGGACAACTTTAAAGGCGATTTTCTCAATATTTTGATTTTTTTGCACCCTCAGATTCCAGATTTTCTCATAGTTGTATCTCGACCAAATATTGTCCTATCCTAACAAACCATACATCAATGGAAAGCTTATTTATTCACCTTTCAGATGATGTATAAATCTCAATTTCGAAAAATTGACCCTTATGACTGGTTTTGTGGTCCAGGGTCACATATAATCAAATCTAATTTAACTTTTCTAAGAAGTGTAAAAAAGGATGATCAACAAAATATTCTTTATGGAATCTACTTGAGGATTTGCCACATAAGATCTGGTCTACGTTGCAGCTTATTCTTCAGAGAATTAATAAATAACAGAGAATTATGTATTCTGTTTTGTTTTTCTGTCGTATATTGACTGATGCTATACTGGCAACAGTTTTACACATTTAGTCCCCACACATTTCATTCTATATTATATTATATATTACATATATCTCTGAATATATATATTCAGAATATATCAGTCCACACGTTCCAAAAGAGAAGAATATAAGAACAAATGTTCCTTGAGACGAGTGAGCACACAAAGAGATGTTCTTCTGATTTATGAACACATTGAGAGGTTTTCAAACTTGTGAAATCACTAGACAGAGAAGCATAACATTGAGTTTGACAAAGGCTGGCTTCTTACGCTGCACAAATTCCAAGTTTCTGCACGTTCTGGGTTTTTTCTCTCTCTACTTAGAGACCAAAGCCTCGAGCTGACACTTCATCAAAACTAATAATGACTTTTAGTCTGTCTGGCCATCATCTATCCTGCACAGAGCTGGCATGCAGCTTTTTCTGAGTGGTTTGAATTTGACTTGCTCTTTTTTCTGTGTGGTACTTGATTGTTTCAGCTCTGTACGAGATATAGTGTTCTTCTTTCATCAACTCTCTCATCTCATCTCATGACAGCAAACATGGCCTCTTTTGTTCTTTTGTGAGGTGTGAAAAACAAACCAGATCAGTCGTTTTGTCATGATGATTTGAAAGAAAGAGTTCCAAATGGATATAAAAAGTTTGGGAACAAAGGATTGAATGTTCCTGTGTGCATTGTAGATTCAAAAAAAAAAACTGACACCAAGATATTTCTGTCCTACCAAAACTGAGCAATTGGACAAGTATAATTGGCAGAAAAATGACAGATTATAACACTGTGAGAATTTTAGAGGATTTGGCTGAAGTGGGAGAAGCTGTCCAGACATAACCATCTTTTCAGCCTGTCAGATTTGGAAGAAAGCCTTGGAGAGGCAAACATTAAATCATGCCAAAAGTTTTCTATATTTCAAGACAAAACTTGAAACCTTTTGTAAAATCTTCAAGATTCTAAGACAAAACATGAAACCTTAAGAAACTTTTGGTGGTGTAGTGAGACTAAAACAGAGCTCCTTGGCTTGAAAGCAAAGTTCTTTGTTGAGAATGAATGAATGAGAATGAGTTTTTATTGCCAGGTATGTTTACACATACAAGGAATTTGTTTTCATGACGATACATTGCATACATCAATGATTTTTACATCCATTCAAGTAAGCATAATATAAAATTAGCTGATACTGTCCCTCAAAAAACAGAGGATAACACTATTTTAGCACCATTGACAGACAACAAATGAAAGACATTCCACATAAAAAAATTATGAAATAGCATCCCTGTCTTAAAATAAGTTATTTAATGCTTGCATGATGAAATACTATGAATACTCTTGCATGAATAGCTGGAAAGGATCAGACTGCTTGTGATGTTTCCAGTCAGATTCAATAGAGTAAATAATGCATAATGATTGTCCACCTTCAGTGAATTCAAAATAACAACAAGAACAGGGTGGGCAAAAACTAATAGAGTTTGCACAGGGTCACCTGCTCCTAGGATGCCAGTGTTTATGAACCACTTATCTGAATTGGTAGGCTTAAGTTTTCTTACACTGCAATTCATAATGTAACAACATAATTCCTGAAAATACTGATGAAATTGGACATTGATAGAAAATATTGTAAGACTCATAATATCTTTCTAATGCATCAGTTGTTTCCATTACAAACCCATAAGGTACTTGAATAATAGCCAATAATATCTATAAGCAGACGTCATCAGCTTGGTTTTCGAAACGCCAAAGTATTTAGCTGAAATGCATGACACACAAAAAGAAAAAGGTCTCTTCATGCCTTTATTATTCTGTAGATTTATGTAATATTCTTTCAGAAGACTCATCTGAGGAAAGTCCTCTCACCTTATCAAAACGCTTACAAAAAGACCTAAACCACAAGTCCTGTCGATTCAAAAAAAAAAGAAAAAAGAAAAGAAAAAAAGTGTGCCAGAATTCCTTTCATGTCTGAAGTTAGAGTTCACTTGAGAGTTCTCCACAGTTTCATCTTCAACACCAGCAGCAAACAAAGAAAGAATGAGGTTTCAGAATTGCTACTGGCTCAGAGGTGAGAGGGAAAAACAGCATTTCAGTCTGTTAATCTCAGCCAAAGAGCTGTTTTCAGAGTCAGTTCCTGCCTCAAATCTGAGTTCTCAACTGAAAAAGTGATGTTTAGTCCTGTAAAACAGTAGAGGACTGACTGTGCTGGCTATGTGGTGACACTGAGCATAATTGAAACAGTACCATGGAATTACTGCTGAGATGAAAGGCCCTCTAGAGAGGTGTAGTGGTTCAGGGCACTTGATAATCTCACTGGTTGGCCGTGGTTTCTGGATATTCTACAGCGCCACTGTTTTACCTATGGGTCACCTGGTTGTTGATCAGGCCAGGGAAGGTGTCTTCTGTCTCTGCACTAAAGGAGCCCCCTAAAAGAGACAGAATCACAGTGAATCACAGCTATACATGGTACTATATTATACAAACATATATTATTTTACTTTAAAATTTATGAAGGTGTCAGTAAGAATTAGAATTTTTTTTAATGAAGTCTCCAAGGCTGCATTTAACTGTAAAAACAGTAATATTGTGAAATATTATTACAATTTAAAATAACTATTTTTAAAATATATTTTAATATGTAATTTATTCCTGTGATGGCAAAAGCTAAATTTTCAGAAGCCATTACTGCAATCTTCAGTCATCTTGATTTCTTATTATTATCAATGTTAAAGACAGCTTTGCTGCTTGATATGTTTGTGGAAACAAATTTTTCAGAATCCTTTGACAAATGGAAAGTTCAATACAACAGAATTTCTTTGAAATAGAAATATTTTCTGACATTAGTAAAGTTTTCATGGTCATTTTTGATCAATTTACTGCATACTTGCTGAATATTTTGTTTTTTAATAATTATTTTAAATAATTACAAATTTTTTTTATAAAATAAAAAAAAATGTACCAAAATATTTAAGTAGTAATGTACATTTTACATTTACATTTAATTTTTAAAGAACAAGCACACTTTTCAAATAAAACAAAAAAGATAAGTTTCAAATGATAAAATTTATATTATAAAATGTAGTATTTAGACACTTTTTGGTCGTTAAACTCAGTAGAAAATATACATATTTGTGTGAGGGGACTAGTAAAGCCCAAAATGACGGCATGTGAAAACATTTTTCATGACAAGACAATGTGAAGAGGCATAATTCATAAATGTTTGTTTACCTATATGGCAATTATACATCCATATACGGTGACCATCATATCGACATCTGCATTTGACAATGTTATTGGTGTAATCTGACTCTGAAACCTCATAATTGGGGTTAATTAAGCCGGCGATAGGAGTTGGCTGGGATGTAACTGGAAGTGGAGCCCAGGCAGTTCTCCTCATAAGCGCACTGTAACATGAACATAGGACGGTCCTCTAAGTATGTGGTCTGTTCCACCACCTGGGGGTTGAGCACTAGATCTGGGGCAGCTGCAGGGAACATAAAAAAAAAAAACTTAGCTAAAGTTTTAAAACAGATGTCGAATGGTGTCCAGAATAGTTTATGCATGTTTCTTCTTGGTTTTCAACTTCATATTATCTGAAAGTGATGGGTTTTAAACACATATTACACCACAAGCTACATTATTTATTGTCCTTTATTTTACCAGGAAATTAACTTTCAGAGAATCAAAAATATATTTTTCAGTGTCCTGGCCAAGATGAGCAGTCACAGAAGTTCTCACAGTATTACAATAACAAAACAACACAATATCAATACATATTAAAAAAAAGTACACACTGACAACAAACTTTGCAACTACCACTAGGCATGGCATACCAAAAAGCTTGTTTCCCTAATTTAGTTGGTACAAATGGAGCAGAAAGGGTATAAACTGTATGTGCTAGTGTTTATACAATGCAAACAGGCTTGCATGTTATTTTCAACTTAACCATTAGAGGTCAGTGTTTTGTCCAGAAACAAATTAGTTCAAGTCATAAAAATAAATGAATACAAATGTAAAAATATAAGAATAACTGGATTTGAATATGATGATAATAATCTCACTCTCAGAGCAGGAAACTCCAGCAGCAAAGCGGCTTCCACCTTTAGGGCAGCTGAGATATTCTCCATGATGCAGACAGTGGGAGAGAGACATCTCTGTTCCTGCACACCTCACCCCACTCATTACCACTGAAACTGCATTCACTGCACCAGGCCAGATCCATGTCTCCTGTGCAAACACATAATTACACCTCAGCTCAAATCATTCATCCAATCCACAGGGGGAATTAAAGGAAATGCAAATACACCGAATATAAAGACAGCATTTATCATTGTACAGATTGTTACATTATTAAAGATGCACCCAGTCATTTTAACTCATTTGAAATATGTTAAAAAACTTATTCTTTTTTTTAAACATAAAATGCTTTTGAAAAATGTATATTCACATGAGTAGACTCAAATGATAAAAATATAAAATATCATCATAGCCTAGTAGAACCTGTTTTATTTTACATGAAGCAAGTTGCATCATGGGAGCAGACATGTATGAGGCGTACCTAAGATGTATATAATACTTGCTTTATCTCAGTACAGTGTTGGTATTGTTAATTAAATCTAAAATTAAAACTATTAAAAATTGCTTTCATTGATTGAAATAAAGCTGAAATATAAATAATTTTAAACTTTAAAAAACCTAAACAAAAACTAATAAATGTTGCCTTGGCGACTAATGCAAATACATAAATAGAAACATGCAATTACCCATATTATGCACATATTATACAGTAGACAATGGCACATTTCAAAATTACAAAAAACTAATTGAAATTAAAATGAAAACTGAAAATCTAAAAATAAAAATCTAATTCAGTGAATAGAGCATTTATCAAGTGGTATCTTTAACTGAAAACGTCAGCTTTTTCATGATACTACATTCACATCACTAGGTGTCGTTATAAGACTGGCGTAAAGGAAAAAAATGCATACACTGAATGCACCCTTATGAAAGAACAGATGTTAAAAAACAAAACTGAGGGAAAATGTCAACAGAGAAAGAGTAAACACTAAGAGTAAAACGTAAAATAACCACAAGATGCTGCTATTGCATGTCACCCTATCAAAACCTAAGGGACTTCTTTGTTCTAATGGAGAAAAGACCTCAGCACCCTAGACTAGAGATCTGCACTTGCGGCAACCACATGTGACGACCCCGGGCTGGACTCCGCTTCGTCCATGGTGAAAGCCGATCCGGCGATCCACAGCGCAAAGTTGCTGTATTTCCTCAGCGACCAGCACGGATTAGCTCCAGACATGACGAAGCACATATCGTCCTCTTTTGGAAGGCCAAACAAAGTAGTTTCTCTTTCACAACGAAACACACAGCGCCTTCACGACATGACGGCGGCAACAACAATACTACAGCGAGAATAAAAGTTACACCTTCTTTCTTTGCGTGAACATTTGGGCGGTGTTATGCAAATCTTCCCACATAGTGATGTAGATATGTGGGGGCGTGTTAGAACGAGCAGTTTTAGGTAGGCGTGGCTGACTCTTAACTTTTATAAAGAATATCTCTTTGGATTTGAGACTTTAGTCTTTGCAACTTTACAGATCTTTTTTATGCACCAAGAGCTTGTAACACTCCAAAGAGAAAGGAAAAATTGAAATCGCATCATATGACCCCTTTAAAGGGTTGCTCAATGTAGCCAATCACAGACTCAGCTGTTGATTTCTGGAACGCAATGGCCAATCAGAGGTGATTAAGTTAGAATCCACTCACAGCAGTGCTGAAATTGCGTGCTCACGAATCCTCTCATTTTAACACACGAAGTGTAGACACTGTGAAAGATTCATTGTGCATATATTTTGTTGTGTTATAACAGAGCTTTATGAGATCGCGATTAACTGTGATGTCAGGTTTTAGTGATAATAAAGGAAGTGCGCTGCTCGCATTCTGCCATGCACACAGCACCCCATGCTTGCTTTTCTGTTAAAAATAAAAAAAATTTGTGAATGTTGATGCTTAGCCTAAATAACAAATATTTGATCGGTTATAGTGTTTATGCTGGGATTTTGTGGAGCTTAGGGGATGTTACATAACCATTTCATGTAAATTTCTTCGATGTACTGAAAAAAATCTATATAGATTACATTTGGGCTTTTGCGGGTGGGAGCGGGACAAAACATGAATGTCGCGGGCAGGAGCGGGAACAGATAAGATATATTTTTGCTGGAGCGGGCGGGCGCGGGACAGAATCTTGCGGGAGCGGGACTGAAAAATCCGTCCCGAGCAGGTCTCTACCCTAGACCTAGCTTAGCAATCAAATCAGTGGAAAAGTCAAAACACTAAATAGTAGCCATAGGATAGTTAAACTTAATATCCAGAGCAACAAATTGTTCTCTTTGCAACTATACTTTAAATTACCTACGCTGTAATGTCATGAGACAATCCGTTTCCCATCAAACTATTTAATTATTTAAAAGAACCACAAACAGTCCATATTGTGTAACCATTTTCTAGCTGTAAAATCACTTGTCAACACAACAGTAACATCTTCAAAAGCAGACCTCTCCTTCTTTTTTCCAACCCTGCGGGAGTCAACTGTTTTGTTCTAGCTTATTATCTATTTAAGATCCATTTGATGAAGAGATATAATTTCCTCTTGGAACAGAGAGTCTATAACTCTCTTAAATGCTTCCCAGGTGTAACTGTTTATCTTTAACAATGTCAAACTAGAAGGGAGTAACCGTTTCTCTTGGTAACCGTAAACACATACATCTATAACTGTCAGAAAGCATGTATTTAAGAAGATTAATCTGAGGAAAACAAACATGTCTTAAACAGGTGGTTGTTCTACTAATTACCGTTATTCTCTATCAGAACCATCATTCTCACAGGACGACTTCAAGTGGAGCTCAGCATAACAGATCAACGCAATGTGAAAACACATCACATTCTAACAGAACTAGGATTCATTTCAGACTTAAGATATACAAGTACATATGATTCCTTGCAGCAACTCATTTGCCCAAGCTGTAAAAAGACAACTGACTTTCTCAAGTCAGTTGAGAAAGAGCAATGCTGGGAGAAACGAAGAAAAACTGTTTCTTTATGGACATATTTGACAAACAGAATCAGGGGACATTCTTTCAAAGGTACACCAGTTGGCTCTGTTTACAAATTCCCATCTGTGAATTGACAGATGCAATGTCATTAGACTAGACAATGTGCCTGAAGAATGGAATGCTGCGATTTCTTATTTACAACCAGCAGGAATAGTTAATACAGTTGTCACAAGATGATCAATAAAGACTGAACTGGCCTGAAACATTCCAGAACTGATATTATCTGGTTTTTATAAAGCTAATTTACAAGTAGAGATTACTCAAGCTTTTGCAAAACTTTCAGCCCACACAGAGCTTTGATTTCACTAACAGCAGTCTTCCACCATCCCTGCTTATACAAAAAGAGCTGAATAGTAATGTGAAGTTGGAATACCATGAATTTCTTCAAAGGGCCAGCATCCAATTTACTAAGATCAAGGGATGACCTGATGAGAGGGATAGACATATCTTACCAACAGTCTGTTGAGGTGTCAGCAGTGTAAAAGGATCACACTTGAAACTGTTAACCCTGGGTCATCCTAAACCCTGATTATCTTGCTTATTGTAACTCTGGTAGCCAAGGGTTAAGCACAGTGGGACAGTCCTTATTGTGAGACTTAAACGTACATTTCTGGTGGGGTTTTGAGAGTAAACATACCTGGAAAGCATGGCTTGCGAAACCCAGGCCCCGCTGTCTGCAGACCACCATGGCCTCCATTGTGCCCCAGCCCTCACCACACACAGTCCCCCACACCAGAGAACCATTGCGCTCCATTAGAACCTCCACACGGCCTTCGAAGAGGTTACGACCTCCACTCAAACGCAGCTGCAATAATGAAGAGCACAGTGGCCATGTACTATGACTATGACAGTAAAAATCAATTTCAAAATTCAGTCACTTAAAAAGGTACCACAGACGCATAAAACAATGAGTTCTTACCCTCTGTTGAAAGCCCATGGCAGGAACATTGCACCTCACGCCTGCGTCTTCCTCGTGACTGCAGCCTTCAGAGTCTTTGTCCATACTGAAGGGGCACTCAGTGACAGACTTCTCAAAGCCAGAACATTTAACTTCATTCATATGTACAGGGCCCATTCCTGGAAAATACACGTTTTCATACAGAGACACACCCATAAACAGTCATAAACGTATATTTAGTCATAATTATTTCCTGTTTATTCAAACAGTGAAGCATGTTTAAAGGTATGACAAGAGTCATACATTTAAACACAGATCTAATGATGGTAACATAGGCGGAAAAAAAACAATTTATCACAAGAATCACAAGAATGCATTACTTTAAATAGATATTGTGTGCATTTTTGAAAGAATTGAAGGAATTACTGTTTTCAAGAGAGAAAGAATTGATATTTTTCAGCTTAAACCATCTCAGGTTACGCATGTAACCATGGTTCCCCGAAGGGAACGAGATGCTGCGTCAAAAAGCTTTGGGAACACCTTCAGCGTGACCACGCTCTGAATCACATGTGTAATCAGTCCAATGGAAGGGTGAGACGTCACGTGCGGGATGACATAACGACCAGGAAGCTTAAAAGCACATGCGGTGGAACCAGCGTCAGCTTCTAGGAATGAAGCAAGCGCTTGCAGGGATGCAGGAAGTATGGCACCGAGACGCAGCGTCTCGTTCCCTTCCGGGAACCATGGTTACATGCATAACCCAAGACATTCCCCTTCAGGAGCTTCAGCTGCGTTGAAACGCTTCGGGAACGAGAATGCCCACGCCGCCAGACTTACAAGTCCCTGCCTAGTGTGGAAGAGCACAGCTAAAGCGAGAGAAGGAGCCAGGAGTGGTGCAGAATGCAGGTAGGCACCTGACAAAAGTAGGCGGGGACATCCCGCCCAAAGGCCAACTTCAGAAGGAGTGAGTCTTGACCCCCAAAAGAGAGGGGAGATCAGAGGACTCGAGGCTTTGGAATAGCATCCTGATCCATCGCTTAGCATAAGCTTCTCTGGCCGAAGGCCTCAGCGCACAGAGGAGGAGGTTGATATAAGAGACCGCCGTTGTGTCGCCGGTGCGCACCGACACATGGCGACCTCTTAGGTCCGGGAGAACATGTTTCAACTTTGCTAGAAACACGGCCAGCATCTCCAGGCAGTTGAAGTCCCACATGAGATCCCACTCATGACCACTCCTCAACCGGTGAGGGGCGCGTCCGTTGCTAGCATAATATGCTTGTGTAACTGTTGCTTGTGCAACTGGCGAGCTCTTCGACACCCTCCGTATCAATCTCCTCGGAGAAAGAAAGGCGGAGCGTCGCGCCCTCTCCGCGGGGGGAAGGAAGGAAGGAAGAAGATAGGGACTCGCCCATCTACATTCCCTTTACCGGATCCATATGCGAAACCTCCCTCAAGAGCTGACTCTGCGTGCTTCACTCCCAAGCAGACAACAAATAAACTGTGTCCCCACCCGAAATATTGAGCACATAATGGAGCTTATAAGTGGTCTGCGTGTGTCTGGAGCGCTGTTGAGCGGTACGACTGGTCTTCAACGAGCCCAAAGAGCCCATGTTACACCTCTCTTTATCTCCTTGCACAGGCTACTGGTTGCGGCTCGAATCAAGTTCAAGACATTGATGCTTGCATATAGAACAACCACAAACTCAGCACCCGCCTACTTCCACTCACTACTACGAATCTACATCCCCTCCAGAAGTCTGAGATCCGCTAGTGAGTGACGCCTCGTGGTACCATCACAGAGAGGCTCAAAATCACTTTCCAGAACATTCTCGTTCACCACTCCTGGCTGGTGGAACGATCTTCCGACCCCTATCCGGAATGCTGAATCCCTGACAATTTTCAAGCGACAGCTGAAAACTCATCTCTTTTGAAGCTACTTGACTTTTTTTTTAAATTCTCTATCTTTATTTATTCCTTCTCTTTCTAGCTTGTACTTATTTGAACAATGTCTAAGAACTTGGTATTACAACCACTTCCTGTGTCTGTTTGCCTCTTTAAGAAAAATCGCTTTATGTATCCCCCAATTGTAAGTCGCTTTGGATAAAAGCGTCTGCTAAATGACTAAATGTAAATGTAAATATAGCATGGGCAGGGAGGAACACACAGCCTGAACGCTGCCTGCTCGCCCAATTGCTTCTTTCGATTGAAGCTTTGACAATGGAGCTTATAAGTGGACAAACAACACTAAATAAGTCTCACAAACAGATGGTGACTGACACACACACACACACAGAGCGCTTGCTGAATGACAGAAAGCTGACGCTGGTTCCACCGCACGTGCTTTTAAGCTTCCTGGTCGTTACGTCGTTACGTCAACCCGCCCGTGACGTCTCGCCCTTCCATTGGACTGATTACACATGTGATTTAGAGCGTGATCACACTGAAGGCGTTCCCAAAGCGTTTCGACGCAGCTCGAGTTCCTGAAGGAGAACTATCCATCCAGAGGCTATATGACCATGATCTACCATATCATTTGGATCACTTTTAGGACAACTATAGAGATTAGTGACCTAAAACAAACATGGAACCATGCAATTTGTCAAAACCAAACACCTTTAATTGACATAGCATGGTGGGACTACTACAAAACATTCAGATATACTGTATTGTACGTATGTATTAATTATTGCATTAATATATTATTTAGGCCAGGGGTCTGAAAACCCCTAAACATGATGATCCCCATGGGGACCTATTTTATAACATATAAAGTCATCTATACATTTTTCAAGCGCTTGCTGAATGACAGAAAGCTGACGCTGGTTCCACCGCACGTGCTTTTAAGCTTCCTGGTCGTTACGTCGTTACGTCAACCCGCCCGTGACGTCTCGCCCTTCCATTGGACTGATTACACATGTGATTTAGAGCGTGATCACACTGAAGGCGTTCCCAAAGCGTTTCGACGCAGCTCGAGTTCCTGAAGGAGAACTATCCATCCAGAGGCTATATGACCATGATCTACCATATCATTTGGATCACTTTTAGGACAACTATAGAGATTAGTGACCTAAAACAAACATGGAACCATGCAATTTGTCAAAACCAAACACCTTTAATTGACATAGCATGGTGGGACTACTACAAAACATTCAGATATACTGTATTGTACGTATGTATTAATTATTGCATTAATATATTATTTAGGCCAGGGGTCTGAAAACCCCTAAACATGATGATCCCCATGGGGACCTATTTTATAACATATAAAGTCATCTATACATTTTTCAAGATCTATTTGTGTGAACAGCAGCAAAAAATATGTTAATATAATATGGAATCCTAAAATCCAATATTACTGTCTTTCTTACATATAAAAGGTCATTGCACTATAAAAACATACCTTAAATTTCAGAACTCAAAATGACTCCAAAATGACTTGTTACTACTAATAGTAAAAACATGAAGGAGTTCCACATGTAATACTTGTTTCATATGCAAAGACGTTACCCAGTCATATCAGAATCAGAATGAGCTTTATTGCCAGGAAAAGGAATTTGTTTTCGTGACAGAAGCTTCCACAGTGTAACAGAATGACAGTGACAGAACAAAATACACAGAAAATAAAATATAAAAAAAATAGAACAAGTAAATAAGGAATAAAAATATATAAATCGACAATTGTATGTGCAGGTATATTACAATAGACGGTTTTTGTATGTACAGGTACTGTATATTATGTGCAAATTTGAGGTGTAGACTGAGTATGAGTGTTAGATAAATAAGTGTATGAGTGTATAAATAGTGTGTGTTCCACAGTTATTGTTAAGTGTTGTTGTGGGCCGAGCTGAAGTCCACGAACAGGATCCTCACATAAGTCCCTGGTCTGTCTAGATGTTGCAGAACATAATGCAGTCCCATGTTGTAATTGGTGATATCTTTTAGACTTTTCCACACTGATGCTGAGTCACTGGAAAAGATAATTTAATCCATATTTTTTCTGAATAATTCCTCTTTGCCACTCTGATCTCCTTTTCCAGTGTGTATTTAGCCTGTTTATACACGACATTATCCCCCTTCCTGTGAGCATCATACTTGTCCGAACTTCTCAGCTATCAGCAATCCTCTCGCTCTCTCAGATCCTCTGATAAACTTTTCTTGCATATACCTCGCTCTCGCT